TACCTCGAGAAAGTCCTGTGCTTCCGGTCTCAATCATGTCCAGAACTGTACGAAAATCTGGGACAAGCCATTGACGTATCTTCCGGTAAAAGACATCCCGATTGCGTACGAAAAGTTTATCGAAGCCAAACGAAATGTCGAATACCTAGGAGTCATTGTCAACATGGAAACATGAACAATCTCTATCTCAGATCACAAACGTGACAAAACTATCAATCTTCTGGACTCATAGTCACATCTCAAAGCCGCAACTAGGCTCCAAATAGAAGTACTCGAAGTCAATTCATCATGGTTATCGGCAATGATAATATCTATTAGCTACTTTTCACAACGAGTTTACATTTTACCCCCGAAAGTGAACAGAAAGCACTATCACTAGTAAATACCTGCTTATCTTCACAAAGACGTGCTATTTATTTGTCATATGCTAAATCCTTGGTCAAAGACCACCCTTCTACCTAGGTCCCACAGATTTTTCACTATCGACACACCAAAGGCTCTGTCGGATTGGTTGGCTTCATGCCGGACAGCCATTGGTTTTACCTCAAATAAGAATACCACTCTGAAGTACCCTATCAACTGCGAACAGTTGCGTGCTGTCTGCTATCTGCTCACCACTTTCGCCGAGCAATTTGCCGGACATACTGTAACAATCCATCGAGACAATACAGAAGCCGTAGTAGCCATCAAGATTCGCTTGGGTTATTGCGACTCATTGTTCTTGTGCAGCACCCCATAGCACACGTCCATAGTACTGCAACAAGAGCAAGCTCTCGCGACATATTTGTGTCTAAGGCTCCGGGAACATCGCTCGTTTATTCGACTACCACAGATACTGCATACAAAATTATTTTATCTTCCATAAAACAGGGGCACCGCTCAGACCTACCGTATGGCAGCGACCTCACGAATCCTAACGCATTCTCTAGCTCCCAGTACGGTGCCCCGTTCAAATCATTTATATTCTCATCAATGACGATCGAGTGCAGCAATGCTTACCTCTCCAGTACAACGTATGTTCGTCGATTGTCTTATTCACGAACGACTGATTTCACTTGATATCACAAAACTGCGCAAAGATATACTAGGCGTTGACCCTTGTATTATGTTCGTGGGTGGACCGGGCCTCCGCGGCGTACAATCAGATTCTATCAGCAGATAGATACCTATATTTTTAGGCCTTCTCTACTGACTACATAGCGAAAATGACAAAAACTTTCATCCTTTCGGCGTTCTCCAGGTAAAACGGGATCGAGCTCCACTCACATCCCAACTAGTTTGCACACGTATTTGGCCAGTCGCATAACGCAACCTGACTAATGCAAAAGGTTTCCATATTTCTACTTGTATCCTAGTGGATGCTTTCGATTCTTTCCACTCTGGTGAACTAACGATTCAATTTTTTTTTTTGAGCCATACTTCCAATTTATATATGTTCACCGGTCTGGCATACGCATCCTGACTCATCAAGACATTTTACAAATTCTGCTCCAAACTTCAGAGCCGCACGTGCCCAACCATACTCAAACGGATGTATTTGCGCATACTCATGGCAACTCAAGTGGCTTGCCCTTACAAAAAATAAACATGCCGACTCACACCTATTCTCCATCGACAATGTGCCTTTTATAAAGACATAATTCACCAAATCATTCAAGTCACTCGTCCGCCACGCCGACACTGGTACAGATACCATTAATATGTAGCTGAAGATTATATTCAAGCACTGTTCTATAGATACACTTCACTTTACCTATAGTTTCTCACCACGCTAACAGTTCTCGCATATAATAAATGGCTTTATCATGTAATTAGCACTCTTCTATCACCTTGCGATCGTGGTCAGCATAAACCAGCAAGTGCCGACAATGAGTGGACAAACTTCACAGAACCTACTGAATGCGGCTTAAAACGTATGGATGAATGGCTGGCTATCGAAAAGGGGTTGAGCGATCATCTTATACATAAATTCCTGCGACTATACTGCCACGAGATGATTCAGGAACTCGACACCACAATGGAGTATATTCGAGGAGAGAGAGAATCGGTCTCGGATATCATGCCTCGTTTGTGCTAGGGAATATATACAATCCTGTAAGTGCACGGGTTTAGAATATAAACTTAGAGTGCAATCGACGAATATGATACTGCAGGTAACTATCACCGAAGAGCATAGGTTGTCGGCTATGTGATTTAACTTACAAGAGAAGCAGTGAAGTGCTCACGAGGATGGTGTGCTTACTTTATCGGGTAGGCAGCGAGCGACTCAGCGCGTAGTGTACATTATGGCTGCTGAGAGGGGCTTTTAAGAGGTATTTGAGGGATCATCCTCACGCTGGTAAGCAATGTATTCTTATTTTCATTCATGGACCAAGTCTCATTGAAGATTAGCTCACAAACAAGCATAGATGACACTGGTAGTATTATCGCTTTAATTGTTGGAGGAAAGCCACGTGACGGGACACGCAGAGCATGCATGGGTACCTACTACTCCTCAGTTCTGTCGAGAAATAGGTTAGATGTAGCAGAAAAGGAACAAGTGTGGCTTAGGGAGGTGCAGGTAGCACTGTCTCGTTAGATGTTCGGCATAGAGATATTCTACAATAGTGCCTTAGCAAACCACTACTGATCGTTAGGCTTCTACTGGACCAGGTAGTGCAGTATTTGAGTTGTACACACGATCTTGACTCGCATTGTAGAGACACAGGCTAGATCATGTCATGTTATAGAGGACGTATTCGACTGGGCGGGCTTGCGAACGGAAGTGCATGTAATAAATTTAGTCTGCGAATTGTGCCAATCGCAGCATCTAGTAGAGCGGGTACTCCATATTTAATTTCAGCAACTACCATATACGGTGACGGTGTTGCTGTGCTGTTTGCAACCAATATGTTCTCGAATCTGTAGGTAGTGCAGACTTCTTTTAACCGCTGAAACACTTAAGAACTGTTTTGTGATTGTCTAGTATCAGCTTTTCAGTGGGGTATTCTGGCATCATCGAAGGTGATGTGGAATGGGTGTTTGAAATACATGTTCTACGTGGCGCGTCGATAAATTGTCTAGTTCGACTTATGACATGGGTGGGTGGGGTACTCATACGCGCACACACAAAAGAATGTGTAAATTATTTTTTAATAAATATTTTTAGATCATGTTGTGATACAGCTGGGTAAAGTTCGGCTCTAGCATGACCACTACAATTCAGCTAAACCTGTTGCATCTTTTTGTTCGAAGGTGGCATAAAATCACACCTGCACAACAGATTATGACCCTGGCAGTGCTTGTTTGAAACAAATTATCTATTCCCGAAGCATTCGCTTACATGAAAGATCAATTAAGACGGTAAGTTTTATAGAAATACAGGAAAATCGGTCAATTCACCGAGGCGATGTAAAATCGAAGTGTGAGATAAATATACGTTCTGCAAGCACCTAGTTTGATATGAGTTCATTCATAATTTTTTTTGTACGCAACGACAACTGGCATCGAGTTTAGCAGCTCAGTTGGCTATTTATTTTCCCTCTAAACCAATTAAATAGTGTAAAGTATATTTACATACCATGTTAACAGCCTTTTGAGAATTTGAAAATGATGAGTTGTTTATATTTCGGAGATTGGAATTTATCTTATTATAAAATCGAGGAATGCCTGTGTGTGTTCACGCGGCATGAAAATATAGCCGTTAAAAATCCCGTCGTAGACAAGTCAACAGTAATATCCGGAATGAAGCTATAAGCATCTAAAATGTATCATATTCATGTCGACGATAGGTCTCGGTGTTGATATGGCCGATGGTTCGGGCAATTCATTATTGACGAGTATAATTAAGACGGTTAGGTTTAGACATGAAAAACCCCCATATCAATGCAAAATAAAACAACGCATAATCCCGTGAAGCAAGACTACATATATTCTAATCGAATAGTTGCTCAGCGGTAGATACCCACGTGGTGTTCAATTGCTTGCTCGGTGTTAATGTTCGATATTTATTAAACTAATTAAAAATATTGACTTCTAGCATCGATTATATCGGCCACATTTAACGTGCGAAGAATCCAGGAACGCATTGTTTCGTTAATGTAGTTGTAGTCCTCTTACGAATTGTTTTAATATACAAATTTATGCGTAGAATGCTGCACTATGTGATATTGCTAGAAAAACGCATACCTTGTAGAAATACGTACTCATTCGATACTTGCAACCACTTTCATAATCAAGACTAGTCACAAGCGCCAACATAATCGTATTATTTATTATCCAAATTGAAGAGCCAGCATGATTATAGACGTACGTCCAGGTATTAACAACTCTCTGAACACATCGACCGACAGAGACGAATGGGCACAGAAGTGTGAGGTTGACCTTCCCCCCCCAACCTTGCGGTTATGCCGCGTGTTGCCGGTACAGATGCTTGCGTGTGGAAATTATCGGTTCAATCGGGAGAGGTGAATTCCCATGCTCTCCAATTTCGCCCCAGTGAAATAAAATACGAGCACTAGCTTGTCGAAAAAGACTTCCACTCATTTCGCTATCTTATAGTATTTTAGTGTCAATTAAATTTGTGTGTGCTTTACACGCATTGATTGACCTTTGGAATTTGTTCTAGTTATTTACAAGTCTCTCTGTACACATCGACCGACAGAGACGAATGGGCACAGAAGGCAAGGTTGACCCTTCCTTCCCCCCCCAACCTAGCGGTTATGCCGCATGTTGCCGGTACAGATGCTTGCGTGCGGAAATGATCGGTTCAATCGGGAGAGGTGAATTCCCATGCTCTCCAATTTCGCCCTAGTGAAAGAAAATCCGAGCACTACCTTGTCGAAAGAGACTTCCACACATTTTGCTATCTTATAATATTTTGGTGTAAATCAAATTTGTGCGTGCTCTTTAAGTATTTTTAACTCCGAAATTAATGAGCAATCCTTCAATACTACTAGTGCAAACGTTGCACCAAATAGTCCACTCAATGCAAGTGGAGAACATTCAGAACCGGGAATGGTCGCTTCTATAAGTTGCGCAATACCGGCGTATCATCGATATATGTGATTTAACCGTAGAATTTAATTACATTCACATCAAGTTGAAGTAAACCCAGCAGCGGCAGATGGCGACGCCGTGGTGGTGAGCAGCGTCGGTGCGATACGTGATCGCTTTTTGTTTGCAAACCCCTCCTTATCTACGTGCACTGTCTCTCTCTTTTCAGTACGACATACCGGCGAGTCACCCATCCGAAGTGGAGGTGCGCAATTGGACTCCTTACTTAAATCTAAATTCACGGGTGTGATTAGTGTTGGCGCAATCCTCTTCGGGGTCGTGGAACCCACACGTTTGCGATCGGTGGGTGCTCGTTTGTTACTTTGTGCATGTGCTTGATTTTGGGCAGTTGTCATGTTGAGAGTATCTACAGGGGCATGCGCAGATACTTCACACTGTTTGAGCGTTTGCGTGTCGTCCTGAGTTTGCTGTGGGGACTGATCAACTTCACCTGCCTGCGGTTGGCTAGAAGGCAACTGTGTAGTAGATGGTGAGGGTAGCAACGTGGGTGCGATGCGTTTAGGGGCGGACGTAGACCCGCTGGTGTTGACGACCGTAGGCTGTATCCTACGCGGCGTTGGTGCTGGCGTGGGTGTAGGTGTAGGTGTCGCCGCAGTATTCGGGTTTTTAGTGTCGCTTAATGCTGATTTGTTGACGGTGATAACCTTGGCATCTGCGCTCATATAAGCTTTCCCTTCGTTTTGTGGTAATTCAGCATCTGCATTTGACGAAACATGAGCATCTTTAAAGTGATGCGGATGGGTGCACAGAAGTCTAGGAAAATATACACACATTATCAAATTTAATCGACTGCCCAAGATCGCTTTGCTTGCAGATTAAATCGAAAACCTGAATCGAAATTTTATCAATGACAAATATTTTGATAACTCAAAAAATAAATTCCAACCACCTTTTAGATCAAATCGGAAGATACAAAGGAACTGTACACTCAATCTACCACAATTTACCCTGTAATGATGCCGCTGTCGGCGATGGATCAGATTGGAAAGTACCAGCTGTTACGGTGTCGATACTTGTGGCGTCGATGGCGGATTTGAGCGTGACCACATTTCCCAATTCTCCATCAACAAATGAGAGGATGGAACAATATCCATCTTGTGATGAAATAACTACAGTATTTCCATCCATAGACCTACGGACCAAAACACAAATTTATATTCAATGTAGGATGCATGCTGTTGCGAATATGGGGCACTCCCAGATGATGGCGTGCGAAGATGATTATAAATTGGAAGAGCGATGAAAACTAATTTGATACAGATCAAAACGCTGGAACTAAGCTAAAGACACTACCAACACTCGCTCATGATGATACCTAATTTTACATATGCATCCTATTGGTTAGATGCATACGTATACATACGCATTTGAATTGAAACATATAAAATAAGGTCTGTTGATAATTCGAATTAAATACAGAATACATGATGCAGGAGTCATGATTAAAAAATTCACGCCCACGCGACATCAAGTACTTACCAAGAAAGGTCCGTTAAAGGTGCATAATGCAAGTCAGATATCATGGCGAATGGAGTAAGTGATTGAGTGTCGTAGAAGATGACTGAATTCACCGTCATCACGGCAAAAATCAGCCGATACGGGAGATCTATCAGGGAATTCACTGGGCCTAGGGGAGGAATAATGAAACGGCTTAGTCGTGGATAGTGTGGACAGAATCCTGTTCACTGAGTAGAGCTAAGATGGTTCATGGAGAATTTGATGATTTGGATCTAATCCTATCCGTTCAAAACAGATTCACTGAGTAGAGTTTGAGTAGAGTTCAGGTACATTATTGGGGACGCCAACGATTTGGCGAGTACTTATGTAATCAATTTGAAGTATTCGAGCCGCACAGCGAATACCATCGAGGTACTTCTATAATACCGAGATCCGATGCAAAATGTGTAGGAGGAGTTTTACTGTTGTTGAGTGAGTGGATGACGTCGCAAATATGGGTTTTATTTTGATACGAGTTTACGTGTCTGGGGTCGATAAAGATGTATGATCGTATGATATGACATCGGAACGCGTCATTTTCACACACAAAACTTTTGAATTGGGAATTCAATATGTAATCATCATGCGCAGGATCAAGAGGTCGAGTATTTCCAGGTTAATACAAATGAAAAGAAAAAGGGAAAAAACCCAGAAAAACAGACTCTGATGAAGTGTTCAATTTAATTAGTGACAGTCTCCGCTATGCACAATTGTGGGTGTTCAACTCATTTGTGATACGTTAAAGTGACAATATAGTTTTATACTGGTCGAATGTTGCTATATTTTATTTAAAGAGCAATTTACATGGTGCAGATTTGAAAATTATGGATTGGCTACTATTTATAGATCGAGGATTGATGCGCTTTGAATCCGTTTTGTTAATGTGTATTGAGACTAAAAAAGGTTGAGGGAGGATCATGACCGCCATATTGATATTATCAATTCATTGAACATAAATACATCCATGTCGACAATAGCAAGTGTACCTGTCGAGTACCTAATGAAGTGTATTGCAAGCAGTGATAGGTGCGGACGAGCCTTGTACAACTATATATACCTGTGTGCTTGCTCCGTTTCCTCCTCTCGAAAGCTACGGGGCAAAATTTGATTTCGTTCGATGGTGAATCCATACACGGCGTATTGAATATGGGTCTGATGAAATCAGTGAAGGAAAGAATGATCGTTAGTACATATGCTTCATGAGTGGCACAGGATGCTCTTTTGTGAATTCAACCATGTATATGTATCAGCTTAAGAGCTAGGACAACAATTCGTTGAACAAGTAGCACAAGATGAATAATTTGAAGCACTGCGTACTGATAATCATGTATTAAGATGCGGTGGTGTTTGAGACTTCCATCGCGTCATGGTTGTTGGTATAAAATCGGTGAGACTCCCCAAAGATTATGTCAATACGTGCGGTCAAAATAAAGACCCCCCCCCCTACTTGAAAAAGCATAGAACCGGAAAAGGAGTCATGTCACAGTATCGCGGTGCGGCAACAAACAGCTTTGACAGAGGCAAACGTGTCCATACACAAGATATTTCACTTTTCCAAGGTAAACGCCACTTTTCCCACGTGTTGAAATTTCACCGAAACGACATCTTATGCATATGGGTTACAAAAAGCAATGATATCGACACCCACAATGAGCAATCGAAGAACAACTTACGATGTAAATCCTCTTTTTGCGGCAAAAAAATACGAAGTATTGTTATTTGTGGAAGATACGCCAGGCGTGGTGGCTGCGGGGGTGTGATCTACTCCACAGGGCGTGCCCAGAATTGACCTTTGAGAAATTTCACAAATATGAGATATGAAACGCCAAACGAGGTTCAAACGCCAAAAAAGCATGGGCACGCGATTTGCATTTGTATGTATTTCGACACAAATGAACTTTTAGAATTAGAGGAACAAAGAAACATAATTTCACATTTGAAGCAATTTACTTACCCGTCTGGTGAGAAGTTTAGTCTTCTGAAGTATGACTGGCCTCCATTTTCATCCTGAAACATACGCACCAGCCGTGTCGGAGGTATGGCAGCCTCCTCCACTTTCTTTTTACCGCTGTCTGCGAGTGTGCTTATGTCGGTGTGTGTTGCTGTGCATGAGCAGGTCTCTGCGCAGGCGCATGAGAGTGTCTTCGTACTTTCTACAGTTTGTGAACTCTCCTTCCCCCTCACCCCGCATATACTGCTCGTCGAAGCCGAAGCTGTTTGCGTTTGACTGCTATTGCTTGCAGCCGCGGCATCGCCACCAGCCACTTTCTGCGGGCCATCAGCGATGCCAGTGGCCGTATTCGTACTTCTGTCAATGTCTACGAGTGTACGGTTAACTTTTTCTGCATCTATGATTCCATCTGGATTCATGCTAGGCTCACTACTCGTCGTTGAGTTCGCAGCGGCTAGTTGTATTGCGGTGTTACTTGACTGGGTTGCATCGATGCTCGGCTTTTTAGTCGCATTCGATCTTTGTAGCTTTTTGTCGTCTAATGCAACAAATATGAGAGAGGAGATGCATCCGTAATTTGATATTTTTAGTGAGTCATGCAACAGCTAGGCAGGAGATAGGGCAATTTTCTTCGTCGCTATGTTAGTTGTCAAACTTGGAGGTGGACTCGTGCAGTTGTAAATTATTTCGAGTTCACCAGCCCTTGATCCCGAAGGCTGAAACAAATCTGCAGAGAACCAAACTATGAATCTTCGCTTGACGACATAAAATCAGATTGGTCGCACGGGTAGCATATATGCGGTGTTGTAGACGAATCAGGGCTTCGCTCAAAATAACGAAGTACTCCTCCCTCTGAACCATTCTGATAGCTCTAGGAACGCAAAAAAAAACTAAACACTGTGTGCGAGCATCCATGACGTTGCCCCTAGGCTCGATCAGAACTACAATATTAACTGAACGATCGTCCTGCCGACTATTCCACTGCAAATAGGTTCTACAGACCATACACAGATACATACTTATATCGCTGCATGCCAAAACTTGCTCCGTTGGTAATAGTACCAGTGACAGTAGGCTATACAATAGGAACATATTCAGTGCGACTGGTATAAGGCACAAAGCTGCGACGGATTTGTGCAAGAGATTCACTGACAGAACACACCTTTTGTCAGGTTCGGGGTGCATTGCGGCTGATGTGAGATAATCGCGTGGCTTTTAAAGTCCCAAGATGTTCCATTCTTTTTGAATCGTTTAGAGTACACTCGACAAGTCCTGATAATATAAGTAAAACAGTACGACTTCGATCAGATACATAGCACATCATGAATTTACAGACAATGTATATATTAGGAATTGAATTGGACTATTACATTCAAGGGATGGTACATTAAAATAAATAAGAATTGAACAAACTCGTTGCCTCCGCCCAACGCACACGCAGGTTCACAAGCGGTACATTGATAACATGGTATAACAGGCACGAAACCCCCCCCCCCC